AGCAGCTCTTTTTTATAGATTACAGTCCACTAAAAGGTTGCATTGTGCCCTTGTTTATATTTTTAATAGTGTAATTCTGTAAAGACAAAATATGTCTGGACCAGCTCTGATTTACATATCTTGCTAAATTGCGGGCTTGAATGTTGCAATACTTTCCTATAACAAAGTAGACTTGCAGAAAGAAATAACTAATAAATATATACATAGTGTTATGCTCTATATAGAGATGTTTGTTATTATTTTAAAAAAATAGGACACACATTTGCATTATTATCATGTAAATAATGAATTTAAAATTTATTTATTTTTTGTGGTACTTTTCTCTAAGTGATATCGATCAATGCATTAGCCTATTCTTGTGGCTGAGATATGCTGTCTGGAAGGTTGTATCTACAATTTCATAAGAGGCAGCTGCAGTATTTTGAAGTTACATCACATTAATATTTCAAAAACAACATTCTGTTTCAGTCCCAATTGTTGAGCAAAATGTGAGTGTTTATAAGATGTGTGTATAAAAAAATTTAATAATTATTTATAGTTTTTCACGTCCCAGATGGTACTGGATCGGCTTTGTTCAATGTCTTTGCGTCGTTGTGATGAGAGTTTTATTCTTTATAAAATGAAAAAATGTGAATGCTCTCTTGGTGGTATTACCAATAATAACCAGTAGGAGGTGAAATATGCAACCAATCACCAGACCTACTGCGAGACTTCAAAGAAGAAACGCAGCTAGAGTCAGGAAGTTTGTCCTCGCTTCGAGCAGGACGCATCGGAGCCGACAACATCCGAGCCAGTACAATGAAGACTTGATCGGAATTAAAAATAAAAGGTTTATATGGTCAAATATCAACCATGTTGGCCTTGGTTCGCCTCTGCCTTCTGTTTGTGTGCCTTAAGGGCAGCGCAGGTGAGTCTGTTTTTATGCTAACATTTGTCTGCTAACATAATTCGGAATGAGTGCAAGTTTCTTAACTATTTTTAATCATCTGTCAATGTTTATCATGATCATTTTGGCAAGCCGAATGATTGATAGCTGCTTTGTTTTGAATTTCCTTTATTAAATTCTGCTATTATTTGCACGGAGGTGATTTTATTATCTGTTAAAGGTTAACATTTATCTGGTTTAAACGGAGTCTGGCGTGTAATGTTAAAGGAAACAGAAAGTGTTTTTGTTCAGTGACGCTGCCGAATTCTTCCAATGTAATTATATTAAGTGGGAGCTGTTTTACTTTGTATGTTCATACTCTAATATCACACCCGTATCCAAGTATTATTAGCAAGAAACGAATCATTTGGTCTAAACCCAAACGTAAAAGCTCGATTATAAATGCGCATTGCTTGGCCATTATATAATTCAAATTATGTTGTAAACTTACAGTGGATACACCCATGGGCAATAATGGTCGCAGATCAGATTTTACTTAAGTGTTTCCGCCCTGGTAAATTTGACCTAGAAAGGAAGTTTCTGAACTGATCTGAGAGTTTTTCTCGAACGACCTCAGGTTAGATAAGGTCGTGGTTCTGATTCTTCTCTCTCTGAATTTCTTTCTCAAATGAAAACAACTGGAGTTTGAACGACGTGGATATTTTTGTGGTTAGTAATCAGAAAACAAAGCAGCTGATGTTTTTTTTTAAAAAAAAAAATCCCTTCTCACCCTCCGCGGGTGGTCTCTCTCTCTTTCATCCTCTGAGTTTGGGTCCTCTACCAGAGGCCTGGGAGGTTGAGCGCAGTATCTTGGCTGTGCTTGAAGGTCTCCACGTGGTTTTACCTCAATATCTCCATCCCTCTTCTAGCGTCTTGATTTTCTGTATTGTCACATGCCACACATACACTGTCTGCACATTAAGTGGAAATGTAACAACGTCATAAATTGTTGATAAATACATTGAAAGGAACAGTATTTACACTATTTTTGTTAAATGAAGCATTGAAGCAACAGTTTTAGACATGAATTAAACGTAATTATATGTGAAATTTTAGGTATTTTTCTGACCGCTTACCTGTAATTTATGAAAATACTAAATATAACAACAATTAACATACACCTTATGTAGATGTGTATGAAAGAATTTGACTTTGCGTACAAAACGAAGATATGAAGGCAAAGTCATATGCTGAATGTTATTGTTTTGTCTGTTTTGAGACCTGGTTTATATGTAAATTATTGCTTATTTTGGCAGAAATTAACATAGTATTTTACTATTTTGATAGTAATTCGAGTGAAATAAACATAGGACTTTTATTTATGCAGTGGAATTAAGGATATAATTATGTTTCACCTGCTAAGATTTTGAGAAATAGTCTAAAAACTGTCATAGTACAGTTTTTAGACTATTTAGACTGTTTTCAGGGTTTTTCCAAGCAGTTATAAACAAATTTGGCTTATAATAAAACATTGTTTGCAAACTGAGGGCACATTTTTCCCAACAGCCGCACCGTTGTTTTCTAGCAGTAAAGAGGATACTGTATGCTCTGTTAGCCAACTTTCAAATAGGTTATGTAAAGTTCAGAATGCTTAGTATTTTCCTGGAGGATTTTCTCTTCTTTCTCAGTTTATCAGATGCATTGAAGCTTTTGATGAAGTGGTTGCTTGTTAAACTGGTTTCAACTCTTTACTGAAATAGAAATGTGAAAATCTCATAATGTGGGAAAGTTTTAGACTAATGTTTTGAACAGTTTCAAAACGTGTGGAATGTTTAATCACAGTTGCTACTGTGTGTCATAGAAAGTATCGGGCTGACTGGAGTTTTCATTTGGTTTTAGAGAGAACAGTCAAATATGATCAAACCCACCAACCTTACTGCTGCTACACACTGCCAGTCATCTGGCTGAAAAAAGACTTCTGCATCTTTTTCATGTTTGTAGAAATTATCTGGTCAATAAAACCCCTAAAAATCAATTTATTAGAACTAAAGGAGCGCTCTGATTAAGTGAATGCTCATGTCAAACTACGGTGGTTTAGTTGTTTTTCAGTAAAAGCAGTTAGATTATGTGACACAATTTAGTTTTAAATCTGTGTGTGAATATCCTAAGAAACCAGAGCGTTTGTTAAAATCAAACCTGTTCTTTCTGTAGAATACTTCTATGGACAAAAAATGTCCTCAAATAATCCAAAACGTTGCATTGAATTGTGTTTTGTTGTCTTGAGGATGCTGCGTTTGCTGAAAAATTAAAATTAATCTCCAAAATACTTTATTTATCTGAAAATTAAATGTTGTTGACACAGGTTGGCGCAGATTTTTAGTTCCTTATTTTTTATGAATTCATGTTTTGCAGACATTGTTCTTTATGTAAGATTCATAAGCCCATTTTACAGGAGGTGTAATAATATTTTGAGATTTTAATGGATATAACAATACTGAAGTATTAGAAAATGATAAAGTTATAGTAATTTCTTCTTTGGGGCAATGGGGAAGAAATATTTGCTTCCTTGTCAGGTCCTCTTGGAAGACCAGGTTGCCATGGTTACTCACTTTAATAACTGTCCAAAACTGAAAAAGTAAGAGCAGAAAAAGACAAATTTCATGGTGATTCCTGTTAGAGAGATGCTGGAGTAGGAGTTACGATCCTTTAACATCATGGTCAAGGGAATAGATGGTTTTAGCTTGCCTCTTTGTCAACTCCTCCATGTTGCCATGGTTACACACCTTAATAACTGCCTGACAATTAAAAAGCAGCAGAAAAAGAGCCAATGATTATTGTGACTATGGTTAGGGAGATGCTAGAATAGGGGGCATATGATTTTTGAAACTTGTGGTCAATGAAAGGGATCGTTTCAACTTTTCCTACTAGTTCTTTTCGAATCCTCTTAGGACACTGTTGTCATTGGTTACACACTTTAACAAACAAAAAAAAGTAAGAGCAGAAGAAGACCTAATTATCATGATTGGGGAGACGATGGAGAAGGGGATAAGATCCTCGAACATTTTGGTCAATAGAAGAGATGGTTTCAGCTCGCCTCTTTGTCAACTCCTCTTGGATCTCCTTGTTGCTATGGTTACACACCGAAAGTAAAAAGTTATGAGCAGAAAATGACCCAATTATCATTGTGATCATTACAATCGTTCAACCCTTCATTCCTAACACTGTTATTATCATTCCTCATTGGTTATTAGCCGAGAACGTTTATTTGGAAGATGATTGCTCATAATTTTTGTACCGTCCTGTTTCATTGACTGCCTGATAAATGAGCCAAGATTTCGCTGGAACGATCCTGCGACCGAGTTCCAGCTCATTGAACGCCCTGAAAATTTTATATTTTCTCAGAAACAATGACTGGAGCTAAAGGAAAACCTCAGTCGCTTCAAATCCGAGAACAACGGCAGGTTTTCCTCACAATGCTTTCCCTGAACGAGGAACTCACACCACAGAGAAACTCCTCCAAGCTTAGAGAGGCGGGAGCCAACAAACTCAAATTCAACAAAAAATATTATGAATAAGGGAAGCATGAAACTGAACAAAGGAAGTGAGGTTTTTTCTTGTCGTCCATCTTCTCTCAAATCTTTGGATGTTACTGAAGAAAGAGGAACAGATTCCTCCACAGATTAGCTGGTCAGATGGTTTTACAGCTAATCTACAAGAAATAAAACCACTAGACTGGGAAAACTGGTGAAAATCAGAGCCACATGTGAGTTTTGCAAATTAGGGAAACTGATGAAATACAGCGTGCCATAGTTGTTGCAGGTCCTCTGCGAGACAGAACAAAAACAGGAAGTGCTTTTATAGTATGAGTCTCTACTTGTTGTGCCGACAGACTCCTTCAGGGTCTGATTGTGCAATGTGTTTCAAAATGAGTCAGTTCCTCACATGACTGCTGCCGAGGTTTCGGCTTCTAAATCATAGAAAGGCGTTCAACCTTTCAGGGATGTCAGACTTCTTTTATGACTAAAAAAAAAAGAACATCCCAGAATAATTTTACACAGAACAAGAGTCCAGAACGGTTTGTCATCAACATCTGGGCGACTCCTGCTGCTCAGCTCTACCAGTAACAACATGGTGGGGAAGTAACATAATAGAAATGAGGTTTTGCGGCATCCGGTCCTGTTTTGTGACCTTTAGATCAGATTATTTGCAGCATCCAGAGAGTCTGAAGTGCATTAACAAACATTTAAACGATCTTAAGCGTCTTCAAAGTGTTCAGATGTTTAAGTGATGATGCATAAATTTCCCTGCAGAGTAATAAGGGTTTGTGGCGAGCACGGTTATTGATTTAATGATGGAGGTGGATAACTGTGCATAAACAACATAGGGCTGGGACATATCTATTAAAATTAAATGTGATCCTTTTTTTCAGATTTTAATCTGTTTTTTTCTAGCTTTTTTTCTTCTAAAAAATAATTACAAATGAAAGAACAGTTTCAAATAGTGACTTTAATTTCAATCATCCTTTCACTGAATTGTACAACAGAGGCTATGATAATTCTTGTTTAATTATGAGAATGTTGTCATAATTGTAGCAGAATAAAGACGCAATTTTAACAAAAATCGTCTTTTAAAAATCACATTTTGGACGTTTTTGTACTTCAAGTTGGTTGTCTACTGCTTCTTAATACAGCGGAAACACTTAGAAAAACATCCAGACATTTTCTGACAATAAATTAACGTTTTAAAAACCTTCCAACTGTAACATCACAAAGCAGCGGCCATTGCCCGTTACCTAGAAACCCCGCCCGTCACCTAGAAACCCCGCCCGTTACTTAGAAACCCCGCCCGTTACTTAGAAACCCCGCCCGTTACTTAGCAACCCCAGGCAAGCCCATCTTGTCACCCAGCAACCCAAGCAGAGCTTGGCTATGAATAGTTCATGTAACTATGAATAATTCATGTAACAACTAAAAGAAATGAATGAAAAGCACCAAAAAGAAGCATAAACTTGTATATTAACACTTATTCATATTGAAAAGATATTAGCTATTCAACTTAGAAAACTGTTTCAAACTTTTCATATAAATGACAACACATCAGCTTATTCAGATTAATTTGTTTCGGTTGCAGCTGAAGCAGGGCTGACCCCTCCTCATGACCTCTTCATGTTGACCTTAAACACCAACTACACTCTGACCTGGGACTGGGACCAGAGCGCTGCCGGATCCGACTCCGCCACCTTCACTGTGCAGTACGCCGGGTAAATCATTTACATCTCCAATAAAAATATAAACCTGACATATCTGATGAAGGGAAAAACTAAACGTTGTTACACTGGAAACATTTCACTCTTGTAGAAGATACTTAACCTTTGATACATTTTTTTCCCCAAGTGTTAATGCTACATAGAGTTAAAATCTGTTCTAAAATCTAACTGTGTCTTTCTGAGGACTTCTGCTGCCACTTAATGCTTTAAAATGTTCAGCATGAGCTGGAAAATGTAATCCAAACCCACCTGACAAATTAAACTAACTTATCACATATCTCCTTCCTCAGAGCTCTGCATAAGAGACGAACAGCAGAAATTATGGAAGATCGGTGCTGCCATAATTTAGAATAATACAAAAATAAATAAATGACTCATAAAAAATACAGGATCAAAAAGTAGCCTTACACATAACAGAATAGGATTTTGTTTATGTGCTTTTATGCATATTTTTTTATTTAATCCGATAGTTTTTAGTCATACTTTTTTTTTTATTTTATATTTCTTTTCTTTTATTACAAGCTTTTTTTGCTTCCATATTTATTACCACCCAAATACGACTTTTGATTTTTTTTGCCCCAAAGAAAAAAAACAAAATCATCAAAAGATGATTTGGGGGGAAAAAAAAAAAACTTTTGGCAAAAAATGACTTTGGCCATTATTTTAGGAGGGTGATGATATATTTGAGATTTATTTACAAAATATTTTACTGCTCTTTTATTTTTTAAACGCTGATATATTTTCTCCAGTCTTATTTTTTGGTAACCAAATAGTTTTGTTTGTGCCTGTTTATTTTAAACTTCAGCCAGCCAAAATATGGTGAAAATGGCACGTTATAGTCCGGAAAATTCATTTTTAAACAAATCTCTTCATTTTTATTATTTTATTTCATTTAATGGCACTAATTTACTTAGTCAAGCTGCTATCTGGAGATATAATTTTAATGAGTCATTTATTTCTATATTTATTTTTAATTATGACAGGATTGGTCCTCCATAAAGCCATTCTTTTGTTGGTAAATCATTTTTAAGTAAAAAGCGTGTTTTCTGAGCTGTTCACTAACATAACCTTCTGTATGACAAAACAAATCTACCAATAATCAATAAGCATTTATGGTGGAAATCAGCTTCAGGATGGAGGGAGTGTTTTATATATTTTTTAATTATTTTCCCAGGAATCACCAGCTGAAGAAGAGGAACCCAAAGTGGACCACAGTGTGTGCAGAGACCTCTGGGAGGTCATGTGACCTCACTAGGTCAGGGCTGAACTACCTGGGCCTTTATACAGTCCGCGTTCAGACCAACCTGAACGGAAGTCACTCAGTGTGGAAATCCATACAGTTCTGTCCCGATAAAGACGGTAAGAAAAAAAGTTCAAATCATCCCTCCTCCACCCATGCTTGGTTTTTTGGTGTGAAGAGTTTTTGCTAAAATGCTTTGGGGGGGTTGTCGAGGCGTTTGTTCAATCTTGTTCTGCTTAAAGTTTAACCTTTAACATGCTAAACATGAGGTTTGTAGAGTTTGAGATAGGGTTGATTATTCTGATGATTAATCGATTTAATCTGATTTTTAAAAATGTACAAATTCAGAAAATCTTTCATTTTACCACTTGAACTTTTTCTTATAAATGCATTACAAGATTACAATAAACAAATAATTTAATTCATTCTTTTAAACAAAACAAGTATTTTATTAACTAAAATGCAACAACATAGCATTTATCTTGAATACAAAATATTTATATTTTTTGTTCAGTTTTGGCCTAAATACCGAATGGCCTTTTTGAGTCTGTATACTGCCGTTAATGATTAATCAATTGTGAAAGTTATTCTAGTAATCGATTAATCGTGTCAGTCCTAGTGTTAACACACACTCGTTTCTGCTCCAGAAAGTCAGGATTGCTTTCTCTTCTAACTCTTCATCTTGTGTTTGTCTTTCCTCCACCAGCTGCTATTGGACCTCCGTCTAAAGTTCGGCTTGGTGTCTCAGGAAGCACTCTGGATATTTTCATCACCGACCCTCAGAACAGCTCCAACAACTCCATGAAGGAGCAACTTCATAAGCTGTACTATGAGATTGTTTACTGGGAACAGCCTGAAGATGGGAAGGTAGGTTAACTAAATGTTTTTCTAAATTCCCCCCCACTTTTCTCTCTGTTCTCCAAATTTATTAGAGAACAAACCTGAAACTTCAGCCACCGTCTAAAAACAATCACTCAAAACCCACACAACCGAGCTGTTTGTTTCTGCACAATGTTGGTTTTTCACTCGTGCTGCGGAAACTTTGCACAGGTGCATCCTGCCACACATGAAAGACGGCAGACACCAAGTGGGGCAATCACTTCCTGCATGTGGGTTTATTTAATAAAGCTGCAAGAAGGTTTGCATCACTTCCTTGTATGCAGACTAGAAACGTCTGGGTGGCACGGCACGTCGAAAAACAAGTTTAGACCCGCATATAAATAATATTCCCTGATGATATTGGCCTTTACGAGAGCTCCTGCCACACTGCAGAGACTATAGCTGAAACGATTAATCGCAATAATTGTGATTAATCGATTATTGAAATAATTGTCATAATTTAGTAACTGATTAAAATTAACTGTCATATTCAGAACGCCAATTTATTGAAAAGAAATAACATATTGAGAGCAGTAATTAAGTCAAAACTGAACAAAAATACAAACATTTTGCATTTAGGATGAAAACACCTAAGTGCATATTTACATATTTATCTGTAAATATGTTTTAGCCAAAACTTGTCAAGTTGTGCAGTTTTAGCTTCACCTGGTTCAGATTTACTACAGGAATGTTGCTACAAATGATCAATGTTTATTTTCTTTAAAAAAAATTATTCAATTATTTATTGCATTTTTAATGTATTTCTAATATTATATGAAAACGGCTTAAGTAGTTTCTTCTTTTTAATTGAATTACAAAAAAATAAGCTTTTCTTAATATTCTCATTTATTGAGATATTTATTTTCTCCTTTATGTTGGTCTTTGTCTTCAGAAAAAAAAGTCTCCAGATTCTGTTTTAAATGTGACTGTTTTAAGTTTTTTGGACATTTTGTGCTGTAGAACTGTTCATGTTCTGCCTTTATGAATTAATTCTCGGTGTGATTTTCAGGGTTCAATGACGATGACGATGACCACCGATGTCACCATACTGACCCTGTCCGAGGTGGAACCCTGGACCCGGTACTGCGTGCAGATCCGATCCCGCGACGACTTCTACAACAAAAGCAGCACATTCACACCGCCTCTCTGTATCCAAACTGAAGGTAACTGAATTAAATACACTATTTTTTATTTAATCTCTCTTTTTTTTCATTTTGTCTCATTTTTCTTTTCTAAGAAGAAATTGGAAATTAATCAAAATATTATCAAAAAGTGGTTTCGGTGAGTTGCACGACAGCTATGAAAAAATTTTTAACTGTGAGATTATAGTCATAATGTTAGCAGAGTAAAAACGCAACAAATTTACCATGTTACAATGTTTTTGTGTGATTTTTACTTTGTTTTTGTCAAAAAATAGTTTTATAAGAAAGTTTAAATTGTCTCTGTAAGACAATTTTTTAAAAATCCGATTAATCGTCAAAATAATAAATGACTAAAATAATCATTATAGAAAGATAAATGAGGACTGGATGAATTGCAGAAGGAAGTACACTGCAAAAACAGTGTACTTCTTACAAATCTTACAAATATTTTTGGTCTAGTCTTTAGTGGAAATATTTTAGTGCACTCAAAATAAAATAAAAAAACTAACTTACAAGTAACTTTTCACGATAAATGAGCTTGTTTTAAGCCAATAATTCCTTAATATTGATGAAAAAGTACTACTTCCACTGGTAGATTATGTCACTTATTTCATAATCAACTGGCATTGTGCCGTTACCTAGCAACCCAAGCCAAACTTGTGGCAAACTTGCCATGTTTGTAAGTAAAATAATCTGCCAGTGAAATGAGTATTTTTTCATGGCAGAATTATTAAAACACACTCGTATATCTTGCTGAAGTTTACTAAGATTTTGAGCTAACTAGACAAAAATACTCTGTAAGATTTAGTGTTAGTGGTCAGATTGCTTTAAGTTGTTTGTGTTGGTCGCATCAGGAGTTGTTCCTTGGTGGAAGATCTTCCTGTTCTTCCTGCTGTCTCTGGTGAGCTGCTTCCTGGTCGTGCTGCTCTTCCTCTACGGCAGCCATCACTGTTTCCACGTGTGCAAAGCAACTTTCCTTCCTAATGAGAAGCTGCCCTCCTACTTTAAAGAGGTACAGCCTTCGTTTCCCACAGCAGGACATGTTTTACTGTCTTCCTAAAACTGCAGATTTATTTATTTCTCCTCTTCCTGTTTCTTCTTCCTCCAGCAGGATGGTGACTACCCATGCCTCATCGTCTCTGAGTTGGATCAGTGCGATCCTGTGATGATTGTCTGCCCAGAGTCGGCCCTCCTGGAGACTAATCCAGCTGTGGACTCTGCAGCGCTCCCAGCTGGCCTGGACCAGGACAGAAGGTCATTTGGTGTTCATTTAGCTCCTTTTCTCTTGAGATCTGCAGGGGGAATTTAAAATATTCCTATCAAATTAGGGCTGGAATGATTAATCATGATTTATTGATAATTTAAATGATCATCAACTATTAAGTATTGATTAATCGATAATTGGAGATCACAAAAAGGCAATTTGCTTAAAGAATTACACATTCAGAGAAGCAGTTAAAAAAATATGAAAATTTTACATTTAAGATTAAAAAAAACTACCTAGAACTCCTCAAGTGACATTTTGCTGTCCAGTTATTAATCCCAAATATAATCAACATATTAGTAGACAGTGTTTTTCTCTGTAACTGGTTATTTGTCGACATTTGTGTTTTAACTGAATATTTCTCTGTGTGCAGCGGCAGACACAGCCGTCAGAACAGCAGCAGCAGCGGAGATTCTGGAGTTTATTCTGCGGGAGGAAACTCTGCCGGCCTGCAGCCCAAGGTCGCCTTGACCTTCACAGACGTGAATCCCACTTTCAACTCCGAGAAGCTGAATATGCTGAGCATGAACTCGGAGATTAAAGTTTCTCCCATCGTCCCAGACGAGGGAGTCGAAGATATTGAGGTCTGAAGGAAGAGCGGCTCGTTTTCCACCTGCTGTTCGCTCAGAAACTGAAAACACCTTATGGTGATGCATGCTGGTTCTGGTTCCGGACCGGATCGCCGTTCCACAGGAAGAACTGTTGATTCTGCTGTTTTAATCATCATCTGTTGTAAATCATGTTGAATTGAATGATGTGGTTTCTTTGTTTATTTGTTTTTTTTTTTTACTTTTTTGTCATCTTGTTGTAAACTGTCATTGTTGGCATGCTGCAGCTTTTATTAATAAGCATTAATTATGAATATTGATTGATTAATGAAAGGGGTTATAGTGAATTTAGTGCTTCAAACTGGCTTAAGGCAAACATTTTATGAAGTTGTGTCAGATTGTCCATGTGTGAGATGTTTCTGTAATTGTTAATAAACCAATTCTGGTCCATGGGTTTGACTTGGCCACCTGTTGGCATTCTGGTGTACGGCGGCCTATCAGGGCCATGGTAGATAGGAAAGAAAGAAAAAAAATTATGCCAAAAAACAAGGACATTTTTAGATTAATCTCATCAATTTACTAAAAAAAAAAGAAAACAAGGAAATTTGTGGGCTTGAAAAGTAAAAAAAAATGTTAGAAAAAAAACTCAAATTCTACTAAGACATAAAAAAACGAACAATCTTAAAATTTGCTAAAAAAATAAATAAATCTAAATTTCAAACTCAAATTTAGAAATTTGAGTATGAAAAGTCAAATATTTGCCAGAAAAATTTTCCAAATATTTTCAGGAAAATTTGTAAGATGTCAAAATTTAGCAAATGTTTGACTTTTCAAACTGAGAAATGTCTTTTTTTTTTTTTGTAGAAAGTTTTTGAAATTAACCTCAAAATCAAAAAAAAATTTCTTGCAATTTTTTGACTTTTCAAGCTTTTTTATATAAAATTTGTGAAATTTTGTAGAAATTTAAAATGATCTACAATGGTCCCATTTCACTGTGGTACTGTTGTGTTTCAGGGTTTAGTTTGCAGTTTTATTCAAAATAAAGACTTTATATGGTGGCATAGCAGATTGATTGGCTACATTAAACTATAAAATGCATCAGGAGGCCAAGAGGAAAACCAATAAGGAGAACTATTGAAGTTCTGAAAGAGGACATGAAGCAAGAGGTTGCAGAGAATTGGACTAAATGGAGAAATGATTTGCTGTGGCGACCCCTTAAGGAGAAGAAAAATCTGTTCTTAAATAAAATTAAAATTGTACTGGTCAAACTTGTATTTTATGAAATTTAAGATCATTTTAGAATAATCTAGTCTAGGTTTAAGCTGTCCAACAGTGTGGTGGAAGAGATCGATGTAATAGATTTCAATAGATTTTAGACATAAAACTTTGGGTCTTCATTGCAAAATGATTCAGTCCAGCTTTGATCTTTTAAATTTATTTGTGTTTTAAACATAAATAAATGATCAAAGGAGGCTGTACTCAAGTAAGAGTAGCTCTACTTCAACATATTTATACTAAAATAAAAGTAAAAAGTAGCCATCCAAGAATTTGTCAAGTATGTGTAAAAAATATTTGGTATTGATCAAAACATCAATCATATATTTAAAAATTACATCATAACACAGACCAAAATATAAAGTTATG